AAAGAAAAAAAAAAAAAAAAAAAAAAAAAAAAAAGTTAATAGGCATCTCAAAATTTGTATCTAAAACTGAACTTATTTTGCCCTCTAATCAACTCTGCAGTCTCCCATTTCAATGAATAGCAATTTCCACTCTTCCAGTTACTCAGTAAAAATACTTTGGGTTACCCTTGACTTCTCAATACCCCACTCCATCAGCAGATTCTACCATTTCTACCTGCAAAATAAGTCCAGACTACCACTCCAATGTAAGTCACTGTTACATTGCAATAAACACCTAAATGATCTTGCCCTCACCCTCAACATAGTAATCACTGTGGCTCTTCTCAAAAGCCTCCAATTTCTCCCATTTCACTCAGAGTAAAAGCTCACATCCTCACAGGGTCCCACAGGATCTCACTTTGGATTCTTCCCCCTGGCTAATTACACTCCATATTGTTCCACAACAATATCGGGCATATTTTCCTACTTCAAGGCCTGGGCATTTGCTGTTCTTTGGAATACTGTACCCACTAGTAATCTCATGACACTCATTTTCTTCACATGTCACCTTATCAAAGAGTCCTTCTCTAACTACCCTACGTAAAATAATACGACTCTCCCCAGTACTTCCTGTCCCTCAAGTTGCTTTATTCTTCTCCATAAAATTTATTTCTGTTTGATATATTATATACTTGTTTGTTAATCTGTCTTCATCCAAGCTATGATGTACTCCATAATGGCAGAGTTTTGTTTTGTTCACTGCTACTGCTTAGAATGAAGAAGACAGTATTTGCTGGCAGCAAACAAATGAGTGAATATGTATTTGAGTAACATTGGTTATTGCTCATCTCGTCTGGTTTTTGTTTTTACTTGTAGGTATGGCAGTCTCAAACTAACATTAAGTTGGTTTCATGTGAATTTTTAAAAAATCATAAAACTCTCAGAGTACCTGAGAGAGTGTTAGAAAAATTCCCTTCGGGATTTCTTGAATAATGACACATTCATGGGAGATTACCTATTAAGGAAAGAGGGGGGTGGGAGATAGAAATTAATATAACCTTCAGTTTTTGAGGTAGCCATATTATCTAATTAAAACAAAATTTCATACACACTGAAGTTTACAACCATTGGTTTGACCTAATGTTTCTCATCTTTCTCAGTTTAAGACTTAATCCTGATCTTGGAAAGGATATCATGAAACATGTATTTATCAATTTTTCACTTTCACACTCCAATTTTTCCTATATTGGGTCTTTCCTATTGGCTTAGCAATACAGATCTTCTTCAACTTACAATGAGGTATGTCCCAGTAAACCCATCATAGGTTGAAAATATCATTAAGTAGAAAATGCACTTATTACACCTAGCCCACCAAACATCATACTTAGCATAGCCTACCTTAAACATGCTCAGAACTCTTACGTTAGCCTACAGTTCGACAAAATCATCTAACATGAAGTCTGTTTTATAATAAAGTGTTGAATAGCTCATGTAATTTATTGAATACTGTACTGAAAATTAAAAGCAATGATTGTATGGGTACAGAATGGTTGTAAATGTATTGGTTGTTTACCCTCATGATTGCATGGCACACTGGGAGCTATGGCTCACTGCCAGCATCACGTTAGTCCAGGAAAAGATAAAAATTCAAAGTACAGTTTCTACCGAATGCATATCACACTCACACCCCTGTAAAGTCAAAAAATCATAATTTGGGGGTTGGCTGTATTGGACAATCTTCCATTGTGGTAAAAACCACTAGTGTTTCCTTCACTGCTTTTATCTCACTTCTTTGCCCAGTTTCTCTGTTCTTCCTTACGTGTTCATTCATTTCCTTTTGATTTGGGGGGTGGGGAGAGTTTTCATCTGTTCTTGCATGTTACTTTTTCCATTAGGATCCTTAGCATATTAATCATAATTATTTTAAATTCCCAGTCTTGATAATTCCAAAATCTCTGCCATATCTTATTCTGGCTCTAATCCTTGCTTTGTTTCTTCAGACTGTTTTTGCTCTTTGGTATGCCATATATTTTGTTGAAAGCTGAACATGTTGCATCAGGTAATATGAACTGAGGTAAGTGAGCACTTAGTGTGAGGATTTATGTTTATCTGTCTAGGAATTAGGGTGTTTGCTGTAGCTGTAGGTTTCCAAGACTTCAGTTTCCTCTAGTGTCCTGCTTTTTGTCTCCTCTGGTTTTTTAGGTTTCCCTAGAGACTCCTTCTTAGAGTCTGAGCCTTACATTTCTTCCCATTGTAATTCCGTTATACAGGAGCCCTGTTGATGTGGTGGTAAGATATGCGAGGGAGGGGGGAAGGGAGAGGGGAGTGTGCCATAATCCTATGATTAGGTCTTAATCTTTTAGTGGGCCTTTGTCCCTGGGCTGTGACCTTCATAAGTATTTCTCAGAATTTTTCTCTTTAGGTGGAACAAGAAGGTTAGATGGACTTCGAGTAGGTTATTTCCCTCCCCCTCCCCCCACATTGGTTAGGCTCTGGTAAAATGGTTTTCCTTGAGGGCAGGCCTTTGTTAAGGATAACTGAACATTCCAGGTATATTTCAAAATGGTTACTTCCTGTCCCCCTGCTGGAACTATCAGGGAGTTTTCCTCTCATCTTCATCCTGAGAGCCTGGTGGAGTGTGTAAAGGTAAAACTCGATAAAAGTGTTGGCGGGGGGGGGGGGCTCCCTAAGGCTGGGCCCCCAGCAATTTTTTGTCTTTTGAATTAGTTTACACTCAGTTTCCAGCGATTAGGCAATTACCCTTTAGGTTTTCCTACCACTTGTTGGCTCTAGTGGCAGTTTCTGCTCCCAGTAAGTTGTGATTCTGTTGTTCCTGCATCTCAGTCTTTCAGTGTGAGGGTTTGCCTGTAACCTCAATTCTCTGATGGACCTAAGAAGACCCATTGATTTTCAGTTTGCTCAGCCTTTTTCTTGTGAGTACAGGATTGATGTCTTTCATGGCCTTTACACGTCAGACCAGAAACCAGAAGTATAGGTGTTTGCAGTCTGTTGTCTCCATTTCTATACGAAAATTACTCAGAGGTCAATAATGAGTAAGCTAAAGGTTTCAAAAGTCACCAAATTCAATGGGCTTTCTCTTTACCTCTCTGCAGCATTTGACAATATCAATCTTCCCCTCCTTAACCCTGAACTAACCCTGAACTGGTTCACTTACTACTGGCAAAGATGCCTTTTTTCTGGTTTTACTTTCTTTCTACCTCCAGTTTCTCTCCTTGGCCCTATTACCTTCTCTTTGTATCTTTAGGTTTTTATTTTGGGACTCAGTTCATTTATTATCATCTCCATGAAAGATTCTCAAATCTGTATCTCCAGTTCTCACTTTTGTTCCCTGAAATTCACTTTCCTCTTGATTTTCAACTGCTACCAAACAGCTCCACTAGGATATCACTCATAATATCTAAACTTGAACATGTCTACAATTTAACTTCTTATTGTGCTTTGGAAATAATGACTAATTTAATCATCGCC